AACTCAAACTACCTTAAAAAAAGTTAACTATAATTTTTTGTTACAGTACAAAAAAACTTGCACGACCTTAATCCTTTAAACTTAACAACAAAAAAAGAAATCCTTCACAACCAGCATAATCTAAGAAAATGTAAAGAACATTAGTTTTCCAAAGAAATACAAAATTATTCTTTTTCCTGTATAGAAACTAAAAAGAATTGAATTAAAAAAACATTTCCCCCATTTTTTAATTACAAATTTAAAACTTAGAAAGCATACAGAGACCGACACACACATGAATACATGTGTTTCCTCTAAGGTGAAACTGTAAAAAGACTTCTAACCGCAGAAAAACTAGCAAAAACGACAAGAGCAAAAGTCATAACTTTACCTTGAACATAAAGAATCCCAAAAGGCATAGACAAACGGACGGACGGGTAGACAGACAGTTTGTGTTAAAACTACACAAGAACACAATCGAGGTTGACTTTGATGATTTATAATGGAAAATATGAATATTTATTATGTAGAGATACATAGATACTTATTTACAAGCATACATTCATATATGTATAAACATGCATATGTATTTACATATGTACCTATCTATGAGATATCTCTACATGTATATATTAGTTTGTACATTTGTCTTGTGTAATGTGTAGGTGTAGAAATGTATGAGAATTTATTACACAAAAACAAAAATACATATTAATAAAGTTGCACTGTATTGCACGGCTGTCAGACAGGTAACACTAGTTGCATAATGAGAGTAACATTGTAAACCCTTCTTTATCTCACAGAACTGTTAAATACTTAACAGTAACAGAGGCGTATGCAGGTGAAACTTTTGGGTAGATGGAAAAGTGAAATTGTGTGTTTCTAACAAAACATCACATTCATTTTCCTCATAACAAATCCGCTCCTGTACATAAAAAAAATCAAGAGCGCATAATCCAAATTGTGGGATAAGAGAAAAATAACGTTGGAGTAGAGACGAGAGTTCTTTTTTTTAATTTTGTTATAAAAATGTAAAACATTTCGTAATAAATACACGAAGCATTAAATTTATTAACTGTTTCGTGTATGAAGTAATAATAATAACAACAAAAACCCGTAATAAATATTTATAACACTACAACAACAATAAAATGCAACATATGAATGATGAAGTGGCATATTGTAGAAAGATATAAAAATAAGTAAGAAATTATAGACGTGTATACTAATCATTTAATTCCCTACATCAGCGTATTTGATGAGATTTTTTGGAAGTAATACGGGCTTGTCCCACAAAATGATTTTTAGTGGGTTTCGCTTTCGAAATTTTTAGCTTGTACATTCAAATATTTTAAAACATATTTGGCATTTGGTTTGATGCATTTCCAAGTTTTAGTTTAGGAAACAAAAATTGACCCCTAATCGTAGTTCGCCAATTTATTACGAAATGTTCACTTGGATGTCAAAGTTGTTTGTGGAAAATTTGAGGATTTTAGTTCTTATATGTAGTTTCTCAGATATACGATTTTTTGTATTTAATTTATATTGGAGGTTCCAAGCCCTCCTGATGAAAGCCCACCAATTTTTCCCACAAATGTTCATTTGCGACATTCCACACCTCTTATTCCTAGTCCGCCCATTTTTTGTCCTTATTATTGTGCATATTTTCATATGTGTGTTAAGCTTGTCCAAACAAAATTTGAGAACTTATTTTATATGTGAGCGTGGCACGTCGCCCACAATAAAAGTATCCTATAGTAGATTCTTCTAGACATACAGAAAGGACAAACACGAATGTGTAAACTGGATAAATATAAAATATGGCTACCATTACACTCTGGAATAATCTGCATCGAAAGAACAAATGTACTTGCTATTAAGAAAAAGGAATACTAGGAGGACGAGAAGCCTCCTCGGAAAGAAGAAGTCCGAGGTTAAAGTGATGCTACGAATTCTAAGTGAATGCTTTACGTTTGTAAAGCTTTGCAGATGCAAATTCCTTGGGGCGATGTTATTCCAAATATTATATTACATTGGAGAATTGCAAGGAAGGAAACAAAGTTTCTAAAAATTTAACAATATCGAACAATATGACCTTTGTAGAGTACAACAAAGCTTTTTCTCAACAACATATAATGGAGCGCACGACTGTTCCGATAGTGGCCTATCTGTGTTTCTGATGTAGTATGCATCCGCTTTTCAACCTAGGGTTAGGTTAGCATATCGTCCTCGCGATGTCTTCATTGGGGACATACTTGGGTCTAGTATATTGATCCCTTTGTAATACCTGAAATGAGAGAAAACGGTCAGCGTATTAGTACACTTCGACCTAATTACTCTGGTTTCCTAAACCGAACCAGTTTGTAGCACGAATATAGGAATATATCTTCCTCTTCATCCTGGCAGCTCCTGCAGATGTCATTACTGGCTAAGTTTAGTCTTCTTGCTTGGAGCCCGAAAGGCCAGTGGCCAGTCACCACCGCTGTTAAGTTCCGTAGATTGACTCTCGGAATATGAAGGAGGGCTGGGGATCTTTGTGGGTTGAATGATGGCCACATGTTCTTCGCTTGTCTGCAGGTGGCATCATTCGAACTTCTGCATTGCGCAAGCTCATATAGTTTTTCATGTATAGAGCGTTTGCAGGTTGAAAGCGGAATGCCGGCGAAAGGGTCGGTGTGCTCTCCGCAATGATATTACGAGGAATTTGTTGATGTCCTAGAATCTTCGCTACATTGGTCAAGAAGCTTGAAGGAAACATCCGTTCCAGAATGTGCTATGTAAAAGCCACCGCCTACACCTTGGTTTGATTTTGAGCCATCGGTGAAGACCTTATACGATTCGTCATTGCGGATTGTTTTCATTACATTTCAATCTAACCCAATATAAATTATTTTCTTTGTGATAACCAAATCGAAAACTTATCATGATGATTAATTTCATCGCAAAATCATCTTCAGTAACGAAGCTTAGTTTTGGCTTAATGGGTTCGTCAATAAGCAAAATATGCGTTATTGGTTAGGTAAAAATTCACATTTGCTTCATGATTCACTTCATCCCCAAATCACTGTCTATGCCAACAAGTTGGAAGAACTATAAGCCAACTTTGAACGCGAAATAGAAATGTGTGACCGAATCATCAAAAATTGGACCGCTGCCGACGTGCCCGCGGTGGCCATATAAACGAAGTCGACTATTCATAAATATATAAATGGAAATATCTCAAATGGTTTGCGTTTTATTTAAAAAATCAAGTTACCAATCAAGTTAGAATTACTTTCTCAGTTGCATATACCATAGGTCTGTTCAATAACTAAAAGTTGTTACTAAATGTTACAAACTTTCATAAAAATATTTGAAATTTGTATTGAAATACAAAAACAATTGGTGTAATTTGTAACAATTGTTTGTTATTAAACAGACATCATAACTTGTAATTTTCCAAAACTATTCGCAAGTTCAATACAAATTACGAAACAGTACTTTTGGCCAGGCCTGACAATGACTGATAAAATATGTATGCATATTATATTACAATAGCTATAATTACCGTGCAAAAAAAGAACAAGAAAGATACCAGGAGAATTACTACGGATTAAAAATAAAACATTCTTTCGATTTCTAATTAATGAACTCACAGGCAGTGAACTGAAAAACTGTCAAGATCATTTGAACCAACTCAGGTAAAACTCAAATAAAACTTAGCCCTGTAAACTATATAATCGAGATTTTGTTATTTTCAGATTCCCAAACTAGCCATTTAACCTACCACTTACAGTTATCCCTAGATACCTCGACCATCCAGGTGATTAATTATTAAACAAGGTCCCAGGAGAAAGACAATCATCACACCATAGATTACAAAGTGACCAGATGTCGAAATGCTTTACGTGAACACGTGTGGTACTTTTTCAATCAGAGGATAATCTGATTAGACAACTCACCACCGCCCTATTGTGCTTCTTACTTGCCGATGTCCGGTTCTGTCGGTCCATATACAAGCACTTTGCTCCAGTCCTCGAGCAATCTAATCTCCGAGCATTGCTGCCCCATAGCTTAACTTCCGAGATGCAAAAACATGACTTCCGTTTACAACCACGTAGATAAGATGACCTCTGATGAGTCGGCAACAGAACCTAGAGACATATTCGAATCCATCAACCGAGGACTTAGGAACATACTGTGGTAATTCTGGTATGAAACAGAGTAAACTCTGAACTTACCTGAACAAGGAAGGAAAATTCAATGGTTTCACTTGTATGAAATTCAACCCAGCACACTTCTCATTCATTAGACACACTTATAAAGAACAACATCCGACACACTCACTCTAGGTATACGGGAGGGTAAGGTCCATATACCCCTACATTCATTTCGTATGATATACACTTAACAACAACTCTTTCCAATGCTTAGTCCCACAGTCACTTCTCTGTGTCTCGGCAACAGCACTCTTCAATAACCGGAACAATACAAAGTCCGAAACTCTTCCCTGGATGTCTGGTTCGACCCCATGTCAAATCATTCCAAGGAAAGGTCAAGGATATATTTGATTATTACCAGTTTATAGTCTCGGCAGACTAAAGGTACTGTAAGACCCCGGGATTGCAACAGTAAAATGACGACACTTTCCGTTCTCTCTTATAGAAGGTACACTTTTACGTTCACAGAGTGTACTTTAGGGACGAAAGACGAATTAAAGCCAACCGGAAGATTATACATTAGTTGAAATGGCTTTAAATTTTGAATGCATTGACACTTTGTCGAACTGCTGGGTAGTTCAATACTGTGCGTTAAACAAATTTCACTTGATCTGGTCACATTAAATGGTTAAGAGTAGGAAATAAACATACATATTTAAGAGAGACAACAATTCTTTAACACAACGAAACACAAGAGTTACCAGTCAACATTTTAACTAGTTCGTGTACACGGTGAGAGACAGAACTATGTTAGCCATGTTAAAAACAAGTTGTTATGGTAACAGCAACAACATTAACTTAAAACAATCAAATGTTTGTAGCACAGTTTCGGTTATAAGGCCCACAGTAATGCACGCGTTACCGGTATATTGAAGTTTTTTAGTGAGAAACAAAAAATAACAATTAAAAACGAAAAAAATTTAAATAAATTAATAAGCGTAAGAAAAAAATAAACAAATGAAACAAAGAAAGAAAAGCTAATACAATACCCAACGGAGTGCAATTATAATTATAACGGTAATTAATGATATAAAAGAAATAAAAATAATGTTTAAAATAAATAATAATAAAAGTTAGAAATGAATGAATACATTTTAAATCACGCTTGTACTGTAATAAAGAAATTTATTTTTATTAATATTTTGTTGTATTGATTTTCTTTGGGGAATAAACACCCAAATCCAAAATATCTCGTCGATACTATTTGTTTTTTTTTTTTGTTTATTTTCCCCCCTTTTTCTGCTATTCTTCGTTAGTGTTGTTAAACAACTACAACAACAGCAATAAATACATGAATTTTCTTTTTTATTTTGAATGTCACTGAGTGAGTGAGTGCGTGTAAAAGACATAAAATAACGTGCGTTTATTATTGTAACATTATTTTGTAATCGTGTTCAGTCATGTTCTGTTATGTTTAGTTATGCTTTGTTTTGTTCTGTTTCGTTTGAGTGTTTTATGACAATTTAAAAAGGGGCGTTATTTACAGTGTGTGTCTTTGTTATTACTGTATGTGTGTGTGTGTGTTTACATATTCACCATCAACTATAGCCATCACTATCACAAAGTCTTTCTCTCCAACTGCGGTTCCTGTTACTGCTGCTCCTGTTTTGTGTTTTTCTTGCTCGAGTGTTTGCAGTGGTGCCAATTTTGCCTGTGGACTCGTTTTGTCATTACTTGACAAGTGACACCTGAGGTAATATCATAATATTAATAACAACAACAACATTATAATACATATCTGAAGATTTACTCACATAATAGGTGTGCTCATATTCACGTTATAGAAATTATTTTAGGTGAATTATATAAAATACTTAATTACGGAAAAAACTAGAGCAAGTTTGAACCAAATTCCCAACCAGTTGTATAGGCGAACACAACCCGGAAATTTTTTTAATAAATCAAAAATATTTTGCAACATTATTTTTTTGGCAAAACTTAAAAAAACCTAAACATTCGCGGAAATTTGATAAACTGGACACTGCTCCATTTCCCTCAATACCGGATATATGTAAGGTATTGGGTGTTTGGATAGTCTATGCATCGATATTCATGAAATTATGTGCAATTATTTAATGTTTTATAAGATTTTTCAGTGTATTACATTCTAACTAGCTTTACCTGGTATGCTTCGCTACCCTTATCTTATTAAAGTCTATTGTAAGATTGATTTTGAAGAATTCAAAAGCCGCATGTTTAATATATTTCTAGGTTTGATATTAACGAAATTTCAAAAGAATACTACATGAAAAATTACAGAGACCTAGGAGTAAATTCAAGCAGGAAGGAACTGTTGCTATTCACAAAGACCAGGAACAACTCATAGCAGTAAAAAAACTGCAAAATTCCCCTAACAAACAAAGATGCTAAATATCTAGAAATTATCCTAGACCCCGAACTATTACGGAAACTAAACATCCAAAACAGCAATGGTCGTCTACTACAACTATCGTAAGATGTTTGGTTTGAAATCGGGAGTATGTCCTATTATTACCCAACAGTTTGGTCGCAAAGTGACGAACTACCTATTTAATCTTCCACTTAGAGTTTCCCCTTCGACTCAACTTGACTGTTTGCGCGAAGTGAATTAACACAATAACCAAAGGTGCCATTTGATAAAGTAAAAAGTACCATTTGGTTTGTGTCCATATCAAGAAGGAAAATGTACCAACAAATCTCTTTTTATAGATTCTGATTCACTCAGGTTGTAGGATATAAAAAATTCAAAAAGCTTCAGTAACGAAAAATTATCAACAGCTTTTAGATTTGTAGATCTTCTTACAGTAAAGACCGTTTCGATTCGTGTCAATATTGAAACTTATCATTTGTGGAAAGTATCATTAAAAACACTTTTCGAGAACATAAAGAATACAAATCTCCTACCGAATTACCGTAGATTCGTCAAATTTGTATTCTTTATGTTCTAGTATTCGAATGAAAACTTCCACAAAATATCACTTTTCAATCCTTTGAAATCTAGTACATTTTGGCTTAATTTCGGTATCGAAATATATTATATTTGATTCTTTGTAAAACTAAATCAACCAAACTTTAAAATTTTATAAAAGTTTGTTCAATGATTTGGAAAAAATTAAATTTCCAGTTTATCCTCTTTTTAGTTCTTTAAGCCCCATTCAATATTGTCGTGGTTGTCTATAATACGTACATTTTTAGACCCATAATACAGTGTTAGTTGTTGTTGCAGCAGCGTGGCTGAGTTGACATTCCTTGGTCGTTGTTCGTTGAACTCCTAGTCGTTCCGATGCGTAGAACTCGTGGAAAAGTAATGAATCCATTTGGTGGAGACCAATCGTCAGTTGAAAGTTTACTTCTTTACCTTTAGTGGTATTTGTTGGGTAACAGTTTTATCATTCGAAATAGGACATGTATATCGGTCCAAATTATCCACCCAACCTTATAAAGCAATGATATTTCCTCCTATAAAAAGAATATTTAGTTTTACATTCACCTATTTTTCTGTTCACTTATGTTACACTAAATACATTTTTTATCATTCTTCCCCTTATTCTATATTTTATTTGGATCTTCTTTTGTGTTAAAAATGTCACTTTGATTTTTTAAGCCTGTTGTCTTTTATTTATAAATGTAGAATTTTGTTTATGGATTTTTGTTTGTGATACAAATTGTAGGAGTGATATTATTGTGTTGAGTTATGAATAAAAAATGTAAATTAAAAATATCTTAAATTGTATTTTACAAGAGGGTATTAAAAAAGAGGAATTTTATCTTGCATAGTAGGCTGAATAACATTAGTAAATATTATAGACCCTTAAGGGTAATAATTTTTAATATTTTTGTATACTACATACATATAATATTAAATATTATGACATAAAGCAGAGAAAATTATCTCACAAAACATAAAATTGTATTGGTTTTCTTTGCTCTTGAACTCAGAGTCTGGATGGATACATATGTATATACATAATTACATACATATATCTAATTATGAAGATGAGGTTTTCTAGGTTTGAATCCATAGATAATTTTATGTTGAAAACAATCATCAAATAAATCTGTTAATATTCTTGAACCCCAAAAAGTGGAAATTCATGCCAACGAGAACTAATACTCCATTAATAATAAGGTTGAAATATCTTCTGCAATACCGTCCATATTCCGTCCGATGTAGTTCTGGATTAATAACATTTTCAGAAGTCCCATCTGGTTCTCTTGAAAATAGAATTCACAAGATGGCATTTATTAACTATAGGGTACAAAATTTGCCAATTTAAAGTTGATAAAAAGTCGTTAATTTAAAAATCGACTTCATCGGTATCTTGTTTTAATGTGCCAGTATTTGCAAATTTTTTAACAAATCAGGAGAATTCAGGGCGATTAGTTCTTCAGTTTAAAGCGACCGAAAAAGTTGTATTCGCAGTATATCATACCTTAGGTTAGGATATATTTAAAAAAGGAAACAAAAGTATGACAGAAATTAATCCTGGAAAGTATTTTCACGCTGTTATAACGCCTAGACGCTGCAAGACTCGGATTCAGCTCAACTTACGCTATTGTATATATACATACTATGTCTATAGTCTAGTCAATAGTCAAGTCTAAAGTCTAGTCCATAGCTTAGTTTATAGTCTAGTCTGTATTCTAGTCTATAGTCCAGTCTACAGTCTAGTCTATAGTCAAGTTTATATTCTAGTCTATAGTCTAGTCTATAGTCTAGTCTATAGTCTAGTCTATAGTCTATAGTCTAGTCTATAGTCTAGTCTATAGTCTAGTCTATAGTCTAGTCTATAGTCTAGTCTATAGTCTAGTCTATAGTCTAGTCTATAGTCTAGTCTATAGTCTAGTCTATAGTCTAGTCTATAGTCTAGTCTCTAGTCTATCTAGTCTATAGTCTAGTCTATAGTCTAGTCTATAGTCTAGGTTATAGTCTAGTCTATAGTCTAGTTTATAGTCTAGTCTAGTCTATAGACTAGTCCATAGGCTATACTAGTCTGTAGTCTAGTCTACAGTGAAGTCTTTAGTCTAGTCTACAGTGAAGTCTTTAGTCTAGTCTATAGTATAGTCTATAGTCTAGTCTATAGTCTAGTCTATAGTCTAGTCCATTGTCTAGTCTAGTCATGTCTAGTCTAGTCTATAGTCTCTAGTCTAGTCTAGTCTATAGTCCAGTCTATAGTCTAGTCTATAGTCTAGTCTATAGTCTAGTCTATAGTCTAGTCTATAGTCTAGTCTAGTCTATAGTCTAGTCTATAGTCTAGTCTATAGTCTAGTCTATAGTCAAGTCTATAGTCTAGTCTATAGTCTAGTCTATAGTCTAGACTATAGTCTAGTCTATAGTCTAGTCTATAGTCTAGTCTATAGTCTAGTCTATAGTCTAGTCTATAGTCTAGTCTATAGTCTAGTCTATAGTCTAGTCTATAGTCTAGTCTATAGTCTAGTCTATAGTCTAGTCTATAGTCTAGTCTATAGTCTAGTCTATAGTCTAGTCTATAGTCTAGTCTATAGTCTAGTCTATAGTCTAGTCTATAGTCTAGTCTATAGTCTAGTCTATAGTCTAGTCTATAGTCTAGTCTATAGTCTAGTCTATAGTCTAGTCTATAGTCTAGTCTATAGTCTAGTCTATAGTCTAGTCTATAGTCTAGTCTATAGTCTAGTCTATAGTCTAGTCTATAGTCTAGTCTATAGTCTAGTCTATAGTCTAGTCTATAGTCTAGTCTATAGTCTAGTCTATAGTCTAGTCTATAGTCTAGTCTATAGTCTAGTCTATAGTCTAGTCTATAGTCTAGTCTATAGTCTAGTCTATAGTCTAGTCTATAGTCTAGTCTATAGTCTAGTCTATAGTCTAGTCTATAGTCTAGTCTAGTAGTCTCTAGTCTAGTCTATAGTCTAGTCTATAGTCTAGTCTATAGTCTAGTCTATAGTCTAGTCTATAGTCTAGTCTATAGTCTAGTCTATAGTCTAGTCTATAGTCTAGTCTATAGTCTAGTCTATAGTCTAGACTATAGACTATGGTCTAGTCTATAGTCTAGTCTATAGTCTAGTCTATAGTCTAGTCTATAGTCTAGTCTATAGTCTAGTCTATAGCCTAGTCTATAGTCTAGTCTATAGTCTAGTCTATAGTCTAGTCTATAGTCTAGTCTATAGTCTAGTCTATAGTCTAGTCTATAGTCTAGTCTATAGTCTAGTCTATAGTCTAGTCTATAGTCTAGTCTATAGACTAGACTATAGACTAGACTATAGACTAGACCATAGTCTATAGTCTAGACTAGACTAGACTATAGTCTAGTCTATAGTCTAGTCTATAGTCTAGTCTATAGTCTAGTCTATAGTCTAGTCTATAGTCTAGTCTATAGTCTAGTCTAGTCTATAGTCTATTCTATAGTCTAGTCTATAGTCTAGTCTATAGTCTAGTCTATAGTCTAGTCTATAGTCTAGTCTATAGTTTAGTCTATTGTCTCGTCTATAGTCTAGTCTATAGTCTAGTCTGTTGTCTAGTCTATAGTCTAGTCTATAGTATAGTCTATAGTCTAGTCTATAGTAATGGACATAATATAGTATGCAGTCTAGTCTATAGTCTAGTCAGTAGTATAATACTGTAGTTTAGTATATAGTCAATTCTGAAGTCTAGCGGAAAATTAGTTAAGTACTTAAGACCTAAAAACGGACTATTTTTTTCATAATTAAGTACTATTTTAAAATTTAAATTTTCCATAA